AGAAAGTTGAGCATACTGCTCGTTTCTGAGGACAGCAGCATGTGGTGGCGGCAGTAACAGGTAGGTGCCGGGATTGTGATGGTGTGACAGAAGGAGCAGGTAGGCAGTGGGGGTGGGGAGCCAGGTTCACTACTTCTCAGTATGCACACAAGCAGGGGGCATCTCCAGAAAAGGGAACCAGACCTGCTGCCTATGCAAATGTCCCCTCCTGGCCTCCATCCAAGACTTGGGACTTGGACTTGTGGCCTGGGACATGGTACCAAAGACTTGGGACTTGACTGTAGTCTTGATACCAAAGATTTGAACTTGGACCTGGACTCAGGTTTGAAGACTTACCAACATTCCTGCAGTGTACTGTAGCACTAAATTTGAAGGGCTTTCAGAGGATATTCTTCTGTTCAAAGGAATCATCTGTTTTAAGGAATATTCAAGGTTCCAAGTCCAAGTTTTAAGGAGTAGTTCAGTTTTAAGGAGCAGGTACTTGGAAATTTCTCATCTCCAATTAACAAATCGATAGCAGGTACAGTAGTGAAATAGCTCATCTGAGCCTAAACCCGTTTATTTGTCCCAGCTAGACTAGATGCACTGAATTTGATGAGTTCTTACATAAGTTCCATTGATTCAGTGGCTGTGTTGTAGTTTGAGCTGATATTAGACTAAGCTCCTGGTCACAGTTTTCTACATTATATTTAAAAAAGTATGTGTTATACCAATTATTTTAAAAGTTGCATCTGCATGGATAAATGGGGAAATGAGCATTTTATTAAAATATTTTCTCTTCTGTGATCATTTTATCTACCTATTTAAATCAATTACTCAGGACATTCTGAGTACAAACCCTAGTATAAATGTCCTTTTTAGACTAGGCATCCTTCAGTCTCAAGAGACTATGGTAACGTGCTGTGTATGGAGGACTTTGAGCAGCATCTAGTGTGGCTGAGAAGGCCAATTCAAGAGTGACAATCCCTTCCACATTGAAGACAAATACAATCTGTTCCCTGTCCAGCTCCCTGATTTTGCGGCTTTTGTGACCATTTTTGCCTCGGCCTGCTGGACAAGTGTCTCTTCAAATTGAGCGAGGCCATGAAGCAACGCCTGCGTCCAGGCGGAACGCTCAGATGTCAGGGTTTCCCATCAGTTGAAGTCCATTCATAAGGCCTTCAGATTCTGCTTGCAATTGTCCTTGTATCGCAGCTGTGGTCTCCCTCTGGGGTGCTTTTCCTGCACTAATTCTCCATACAGGAAATCTTTTGGAATCCAACCATCAGCCATTCTCACAACATCCCCAAGCCAACGTAGACGCCGCTGTTTCAGTAATGTATATACAGTGGTGCCTCGCACAGCAAGGTTAATCCGTCCCGGATTAACCCTCGCTGTGTGAAACATCACTGAGCGGTAAGAAAAAAACCAATTGGAACGAATGAAGCAGAAGTAGATATTTTTCTGGAACTCTCTGGCTTTCTCCATAATCCAGCGCAAGTTAGCAATTTGGTCTCGAGTTCCTCTGCCTCTTCGGAATCCAGCTTGTACTTCTGGGAGTTCTCGGTCCACATACTGCTGAAGCCTACCTTGTAGGATTTTGAGCATAACCTTGCTAGCGTGTGAAATGAGTGCAATTGTACGGTAGTTGGAGCATTCTTTGGCACTGCCTTTCTTTGGGATTGGGATGTAGACTGATCTTTTCCAATCCTCTGGCCACTGTTGAGTTTTCCAAACTTGCTGGCATATTGAATGTAGCACCTTAACAGCATCATCTTTCAAGATTTTAAATAGTTCAATTGGAATGCCATCACCTCCACTGGCCTTGTTGTTAGCCAGGCTTTCTAAGGCCCACTTGACTTCGCTCTCCAGGATGTCTGGCTCAAGGTCAGCAACTACATTGTCTGGGTTGTCCGGGATATCCACATCTTTCTGATATAATTCCTCTGTGTATTCTTGCCACCTCTTCTTGACGTCTTCTGCTTCTGTTAGGTCCTTCCCATTTTTGTCTTTTATCATGTTCATCTTTGCGCAAAATGTTCCTCTAATATCTCCAATTTTCCTGAAGAGCTCTCTGGTCTTTCCTTTTCTGTTATCTTCCTCTATTTCTTTGCATTGTTCATTTAAGAAGGCCCTCTTGTCTCTCCTTGCTATTCTTTGGAAGTCTGCATTCAAGTTTCTGTAACTTTCCCTATCTCCCTTGCATTTTGCTTCCCTTCTCCTCTCTGCTATTTCTAAGGCCTCGTTGGTCAGCCACTTTGCTTTCTTGCATTTCCTTTTCTTTGGGATGGTTTTTGTTGCTGCCTCCTGGACAATGTTACGAGCCTCTATCCAAAGTTCTTCAGGCACTCTGTCCACCAAATCTAGTTCCTTAAATCTGTTCTTTACTTCCACTGTGTATTCATAAGGGATTTGGTTTAGATTATACCTGAGTGGCCCAGTGGTTTTTCCTACTCTCTTCAGTCTAAGTTTGAATTTTGCTATGAGAAGCTGATGATCAGAACCGCAGTCAGCTCCAGGTCTTGTTTTCGCTGACTGTATAGAGCAGGTATGTCCAACCTGCTGCCCAAGGGTCGCATGCAGCCCTCATGTTCATCTTTGCGCAAAATGTTCCTCTAATATGTCCAATTTTCCTGAACAGATCTCTGGTCTTTCCTTTTCTGTTATCTTCCTCTATTTCTTTGCATTGTTCATTTAAGAAGGCCCTCTTGTCTCTCCTTGCTATTCTTTGGAAGTCTGCATTCAAGTTTCTGTAACTTTCCCTATCTCCGTTGCATTTTGCTTCCCTTCTCCTCTCTGCTATTTCTAAGGCCTCGTTGGACAGCCATTTTGCTTTCTTGCATTTCCTTTTCTTTGGGATGGTTTTCGTTGCTGCCTCCTGGAGAATGTTACGAGCCTCTATCCAAAGTTCTTCAGGCACTCTGTCCACCAAATCTAGTTCCTTAAATCTGTTCTTTACTTCCACTGTGTATTCATAAGGGATTTGGTTTAGATTATACCTGAGTGGCCCAGTGGTTTTTCCTACTCTCTTCAGTCTAAGCTTGAATTTTGCTATGAGAAGCTGATGATCAGAACCGCAGTCAGCTCCAGGTCTTGTTTTTGCTGACTGTATAGAGCTTCTCCATCTTTGGCTGCAGAGAATATAATCAATCTGATTTCGATATTGCCCATCTGGTGATTTCCATGTATAGAGTCGCCTCTTGTGTTGTTGGAAAAGAGTGTTTGTGATGACCAGCTTATTCTCTTGACAGAACTCTATTAGCCTTTGTCCTGCTTCGTTCTGAACTCCAAGGCCAAACTTCCCTGTTGTTCCTTTTATCTCTTGGCTCCCTACTTTAGCATTCCAGTCCCCTAGAATGAGAAGAACATCTTTCTTTGGTGTCAGTTCTAGAAGGTGTTGTAAGTCTTCATAGAATTGATCAATTTCAGTCTCCTCAGCATTGGTGGTTGGTGCATAAACTTGGATTATTGTGATGTTGAAAGGTCTGCCTTGGATTTGTATTGAAATCATTCTATCATTTTTGAGATTATATCACATTACAGTTTTTCCCACTCTTTTGTTGACTATGAGGGCTACTCCATTCCTTCTACGGGCTTTTTGCCCACAATAGTAGATATGGTAATCATCTGAATTGAATTCACCCATTCCTGTCCATTTTAGTTCACTGACGCCCAGAATGTCAATGTTTCTTCTTGCCATGTCCTGTTTGACGACATCCAGCTTCCCAAGGTTCATAGCTCTTACATTCCAGGTTCCTATGCAGTATTTTTCTTTGCAGCATTGGATTTTCCTTTCACTTCCAGGCACGTCCACAGCTGAGCGTCCTTTCGGCTTTGGCCCAACCACTTCATTAGCTCTGGAGCTACTTGTACTTGTCCTCCACTCTTCCTCAGTAGCATGTTGGGCACCTTCCAACCTGAGGGTCCCATCTTCCAGCGTCATATCTTTTAGCTTTTTTTTCTGATCATGGGCTATTCTTGGCAAAGATACTGGAGTGGCATTGCCAATTCCTACTCCAGGTGGATTGCATTTAGTCGGAACTCTCCACTATGACCTGTCTGTCTTGGGTGTCCCTGTATGGCATAGCTCATATCTTCTTTGAATTACTCAAGCCCCTTCGCCACGACAAGGCAGCAATCCATGAAGAGATTTCTAAGTACCTATTAAACAGACAGGAACCCTGTCCTTCCCCCCCACCCCAATCTGGTTACCCTATCAGGGATATATTTAACTTGTAAGTTGTGAAATTCACGTAACATTTTTTCAGAAATATCAGGTCAGCATGAGCAAGAGCCAAGAGGTTAGGCAAATGTCTTACAGGTATAATATTGAAAAATAAGTGAATTTACAGGTCCAATTGATTTAGGAGAACATGAAGGCCAACTAATCATCTCACCTGTTTAAACAGGTATTACAATGGCTTTTGTCGCTCCTTATAAAATTGTACATTCTTTAGCTGAAACCTGTAGGATGTGATTCTAATATACTTCTTAGACACACAGGATGTGATTCTAATACAGTATACTTCAATATGTTAATTCAGAGAAGATAAAAATACTTAATGAAGTATGCATGAAAAGCTGCTTCTGGATGCATGTCAAAGTTTACCAAATGGGCAAAAAGACAGTAAAATAATTTGAACTAAGAGGCCAAAATGAATACACTCAGATTGACATGCCACTAACAAATATTAATGTACTTACTATTCCTTACTTACCTGCTATATAATTCTAAGCCTGATCATGGAGTAATTTCTAAAGCAGCATTCTAAAACATAAATTTTAAAATATACAGTAAACTGGTCACAAATTTTAGCAATAAAGATTTAGTCTCACTGCTTCATGTTCAACCCTCCTCATCATCATCTTAGAACTGCAGAGCTGGAAGGGACCCTATAAAATTGATTATCTACTCCAACTTCTGTCAAAGAGGCACAGTGGGGAAGACATTCAACCTTTGACTCTGCAGCCAGATACCTAAACCACAATGGTTTAAAGGTGTGTGTATGTTTTTTTAACAGACTTGTTGAAGAAAATCATCTTGTTTCAACTATTTTTCAAGTAATTCTGGTAAGAATGTGTTTATTCTGAATATATTTCATTTTAATATTTCAAACCATTAAAAATAAATTTTAAGAGTATATATTTGTACAGTGGTGCCCTGCTAGACACTAACCCCGTTAAACGACGAAATCGCTTCATGATGCCTTTTTTGCTATCACTATGGTGATCGCAAAACAATGTTTCCTATGGGGTTTTTTTTTTTAACAAGGATTAGGTCCCTGCTTCACAAACTGATTGTTCGCAAGATGACGATTTAAAACAGCTGATCAGGGGTTTGCAAAGTGGCTCCCCGCTGTTTTCCGGGCCTATTTCCTCAAGACAGGGATCACAAAATGGCCGCCCTATGGAGGATCTTTGCTGCACGAGCAGGTATTTCCCCCATTGGAACGCATTAACTGGTTTTCAATGCATTCCAATTGGGTTTTTATTTTTGCATGATGACGGTTTTGCTGTACAGTGATTTTAACGGAACGCATTATCGTCGTCATGCGGGACACCACTGTATTTGGTGTTTCAAAACAATAATGGATAAGGTTTATTTTTCATTTTTATTTTTGGTGTATATATATCTATATATCTGATAACTGAAAGTTAATTCATGGGTCTGCTTTGTGTGCTTAGCAGTAAACTTTATTATATTTCATTATGTATTTTTATATACAGTGGTGCCTCGCACAACGATGTTAATTGGTTCCAAAAAATTCATCGCTGTGTGAAACCATCGTTCTGCGAAACACCATTTCCCATAGGAATGCATTGAAAACCGGTTAATCTATTCCAATTGGAACGGATTGCCGTCCTTAAGTGAAAATCGCCATAAGAAACATCATTGAGTGAAACGCGGTTCCCCAATTGAAATGCATTGAAGCCTATTTAATGCATTTCAATGGTTTAGCGAAGTCAATTTTTGCAAATTTAAGTGTGTCATAAAAGGGTCAAAAAGGTTTTAAATGCTTGGAATAGCTTCTGCACCTTCTAAAACGGGTGCAAACTTAATTTGGCTTTGATCTCACTTTTCGTTAATTTTTGCTGAATTTTTCCCCCCACCAACTTTTGACAGCTGTCAAAATCTGACAGTTCCATTATTTCCTATGGGGCACAAAAAAATTCACCATAAATTAATGAAGACTCAGATCAAAGCCAAATCAGGTGTGCACCCGTGTTAGAAGGTGCTTCAACGATCCCGAGCATTTAAAACTGTTTCTGAGTCTTCGTTAATTTATGGTGATTTTTTTATGCCACATAGGAAACAATGGAGCTGTTGGGCTCCATTGTTTCCTATGGGGCACAAAAAAAATCACCATAAATTAACGAAGACTCAGATCCCAAGCATTTAAACCTTTACAACTTTAAAATTCAACAACAAATTAAAAAAAAGACTCAGGACAAAGTCAAATCAGGGTAACGAAGGGTTTATTAAGTGCACATTAACGTCATAAACTTTATAGCATAGGACAAAACTTTTTAGACTCAGCAATCAAGGTGAATGAACATTTGCAAAACTCTTTCAGTACAGAAACTCTTCTTGCATTGAAGAAACATAACATTTTACACATCACTTTTTGGAAAGTGCATCATACAGAAACCCTTCTTGCATTGAAGAAACATAATATTTTACTGTACACACCACTTTTTGGAAGTGCATCATACAGAAACCCTTCTTGCACTGAAGAAACATTTTACACATCACTTTTTGTAAAGTGCATCATACAGAAACCCTTCTTGCATTGAAGAAGCAAAAAACAAACTTTTAACATTTCAACTTTAACATGAACAAGTGACGTGGAAGCCTCTAAACCACCCGGACCAGTGCTCCCCAAATCAATGCAGCAGTTCTAGGGGGATGATGAGGGGAAGGAAGAAGAAATGCTCCAGGTAGAAGAAGGTACCTGAGCAGCACTGGTGGAAGGAGCAGGTTCCTCTTCCTGCCTTGGTCTCTTTTCGAGGAACCTGTCCATAGTAAGCTGCCTCTGCCGCCTTTTCAGAATTCCTCAGAAAGAGGACACGATCCTTTTGTCAAAGGAATTCGATAAGTTCTGTGCCAGATTTGTGTCCTCGTACTGCTGCGCTATGGTCTGCACATACTGCCAGCAGTCCAAAAACAACTTTAAGTCACTGGTGGACAGCTGTGCACGCTCTGCCTCTTCTTCTTCTGCTTGCTCCTCCCTCGCCTCTGCCTGAAGATCCACCAGCTCCTGTGTGGTCAGCTCCTGGTTGTGGCCCTCAACTAGCTCTGCAATGTCCTCCTCATTGACATCGAGACCAATGTTCCTCCCTAAGTCCACAATGTCCTGCATCACTGTGGACTCAGGTGCAGGTGCTGAAGGACCAGGAGCCACACAGCCTGGCTAGAGCGGGCGCCACGCAGAGTTCAAGTTTCTCTGGCTGATGCCGTCCCAGGGCCTGGCGATCATCTTCAGGCAGATGACGATGCCAGAAGTCACGGAGGGTGAGAGAGGTGGCATCCGTCACCTCGAAACAGCGCCGGAAGAGCTCCATGGTGTAGCGCTTTTTGAAGTTCTCAATCACCTGTTGGTCCATTGGCTGGATTAGCGGGGTGGTGTTTGGAGGCAGAAACATGATTTTTATAAAGGAAAACTCATCCAGCAAGTCATCCTCAAGGCCTGGAGGATGGGCAGGAGCGTTGTCCATTAGGAGCAGGCCCTTCAGAGGCAGGTCACGGTCCACCAGGTACCGCTTCACAGCTGGGCCAAAAGC